GGCAAGCCGGATCCAGCATCTTTACAGATTTTGCTGATCCCGCTCCACCACACCGGCACGTAGTAGGCACTTCATATTTCCTGGGTCTCGCCCATTACTGACGGTCGTCGCCGGTGGAGTCTCTCTCCGAAAGACACAGAGTGTATATTCTCGTATTCTAGTTGCGTATTAATACCTCCCCCGGGGCTCAGGTAGTGCCCACGGGAGATTGTTTGTAAACTACCTATCTGGTGTACTTATAAAGTCGGGACCTTCCAAGAAGTCCTCAGGGATTGACTTTTCCCTGATCCAAACAACCGTTTCGAAGGGGGTACACAAGGTGAGGTTATTGACCGGCTTCCCAGGACTTACTCGTCTGTAGCAAGCTTCCCCGGGAATCCACGGTCCTGGGCAAATCCCCGTCCAGGAGGAGTCGTCTATCCACGGGAACTTCGGCTCTCACACTCTGAACCATTGGTGCGTACGCAAATACCCACTTGCGTGAGCAAAAGTTTCAAGCGCTACATCACAGAGGTATTAGCGTTCTTGGGTATATCTCCCGAGGATTCAGTCGCCCCGGTATCTCAGGGCACGGAGCCCCGGGGGGGGGCGGTGGTCCCCAGGACCAGCACAGACACCGTGTTCCATCAGAACCAGGTCAGATGGGGCCTGTGCTGTCCCGTAGTTCGTACATCGATGACATCATCTACGGAGCTCCGTCCTGGGATGACCTGTGCAAAACGCTGAATGTCCTCCTGTACCGATTGCGGTACTGAAACATTTCGGTGAGCCTCCCGAAGAGTGAGTTCGGGGTCAAGAAATGTAAGTACCTCGGGCACGACATCAGCTCGGACGGAATCAGGACGTCCCCAAAACTGGCGGAAAAGGTCCTCAACCTGCCTTTCCCGAAGACCCAGAAATGAGTACAGTCCTTCCTCGGGAGCCTTAACTACTATGCTAAGTTCATCGAGGACCTACCCATACTCGCAGCCACCCTCTACGACGCATCGGACGAGCAACTCCGCTCGGAACGAGACCTGGAGAAAGCCAAACATGCCTTCAAGATACTCAAGGACCGACTAGTGTCGACACCACTACTCCAACACTCCGACCCCGGGAGGCAGTATGTAATCATATTGCATGCCAATCTCTTGGCTATCAGCGCCGTTCTGGGGCAAGACTACGACGGCACCATACTACCGTGCGGTTCGTGGGACGGGTTCTCCAAGACGCCGAAATCCGGTACCACCCCTCCGAGAAGGAAGTACTAGCGCTGCTTCGAGTCCTGAACACATGCCACACCATGATTACGAGTTGTTCTGAGAAGAAAATTCGGGTATATACCCGGTACTTAGTGCTGGCATGGCTGTTCAAGTCCAAGACGGTGGATGGGACGTGCCTCAAGTGGGCAGTCAACCTGTCTCCCTGGGGCCTGGATATTTGGCGAGTCGAGAACGACGAAGATGGCTTGGCGGTGATCCTGGGGGTGGGTATCACCCCCCGGGAACATCTCGACGAGGTCGCCGAGACCCTAGTTCCGGAAAAGGGTTCCCGGATCAAAACACCCCCAGTCAGCCTAGAAATGCTATCTAGCAACCACATCGGGCATCTGCTGAGTTTCGACGGAGCTGCCAAGAGAGATGGGTTCGGCGGCGCCGCTTGCATTCTCTGGAGCCTCCCGAGTTGGGAGATTGTGGCGGCCACGGGACACTTCCTGGAGAAGGCTACCGTGAACGAAGCCGAATATGCTGGATTGGTCAAAGGCATGCAACTTGCTGGAGTCCAGGAACTGGTAGTAGTTGTAGACTCCCGGTTAGTAATACAGCAGCTCCAGGGGGTTATCGGTTGTACTCAGCCCCACCTGTTGAGGCTGCTCCATGAAGCCGAAGGACTCCAAGCTAAGTTCAAATCGTTGCGCCTAGTACATGTGACGAGAGACTTCAACGCCGCCGCCGACTACGTTTCCAAGCGGGTTATCCAAGAGCAGTCATCATTAGAAGTCACAGACCTCGGGGAACGCAAGTTACTTCAAGGCCTGAACCGGAAGGACCTGAGTCCCCGAAAACAGTCGCTGGTGGAGTACGCGTTCCTAACTACAGCTCGGGGTATACCTAGGTGCTC